CAAAATCATTAGAGGTTAAATAAAAAATCATAGTTATACAGATATAAACCATTTTCACCCCAAAATGAAGCATGCCCATAAATTTGAATATTCTGCATTCAGTCCACAGATAGAAAGGGGGCATTGATTTTGCTGCCATTTTTTTGTTTACAAAGCTCAAGTTGATCAGCTTTTCCCAGTTTTGAAAACTAATATGGGCATTTACTATATATCCTGTGACACATTCAGTGGGCCTGGAGAAATAGAATCATAGAAACAGAATCAAACACATTAATACTTCTATGGTAAAATACATCATATTCACATTAAAGTGGGGTAAAGACTACAATACTAGTAGCCTTATGTCAATTCCAGTCAGATTGTGCTTCCAATGAGTTGTGAAAAAGTTTTCTGTTTTCCAACATTTTTGGAGTTCAGCCTATCTGAATTATCACCATGGCTGTCAGAAGAAATTAGAACTAGTCCAGCGGAGAGGCCTGTTTGAAAAGCCTGCTGAACATCAGGTGAAGAGACAACTTTTTTTTGGTGGGGGTGGAGGGAAGCGGACATTGGTTAATAAAATTATGTAGGTTTCAGGTGTACAATTATATAATACATCATCTGTATATTGTTTTGTGTGTTCACCATCCAAAGTCAAGTCTCTTTCCAGCACCATTTATCCCCGTTTTACTTTCTACCTGTCCCCACCCTGCTCTCCCTCTTGTAATCACCATACTTTTGTCTATGAGGTGTTTTGTTTAATCCCTTCAACTTTTTCACAGAACTCCACAGGTGTTAGTCTTTGACAGCTGTTAGTCTGTTTTCTGTATCTGTTTCTGTTTTATTTTGTTCATTGGATTCTGCATATAAGTGAAATCCTAAAGGCAATACAGCAAGTCTTCCCATTGTAGTAAGTCCCAAAGTCAGCTACTTAAGAATATTGATCTCCATTTGACAGACTGTTTTCTTTCCTTTTTATCTAGTATTTTAACCCTCATTGTTATCCATGCAAATAAACCTGTTTTGCATTATAACAACAAAAACTCAGCTTCACCTCTCTACATTTTAGATCAGTGTGGCTCCGACACATGAACCAAGAGGTCACCTGCTCGATTCCTGGTCAGGGCACATGTCCAGGTTGTGCAATCGATATCCTGTAAGAGTGCAGGAAGCAGCTGCTGATTCCCTCTCATCAATGTTTCTATCTCTCTATTCCTCTCTCTCTAAAAATCAATTAAAAATGTAATTCATTTAGAGAGAGAGAGAGAGAGCGAGAGAGGAAATACTACAATCAAAATAAACTCCTTCCATCCCCAAAGTTGAGGGAAAGGTAGGAGAGGAGAATAACGAAGAGTGAAGCCTGGTGGCATATGATGGTTGCCACTAATGGCATCATATTCTTTCTATTCAGATGACAGACTACATCAACTTCTCCTGGTATAGAAGAGATAGCGACCCTCAGAGTTGATTCTTACTCCAAGTGGGTGCCACATACCCTGTTTGCCCAGGGCAGTTATGACTTATACCTATTATCCTTTTAACTTCTTTCACTCTCAAAATCATTAGAGGTTAAATAAAAAATCATACAGATATAAACCATTTTCACCCCAAAATGAAGCATGCCCATAAATTTGAATATTCTGCATTCAGTCCACAGATAGAAAGGGGGCATTGATTTTGCTGCCATTTTTTTGTTTACAAAGCTCAAGTTGATCAGCTTCTTTTGAATTGCCTGGATTATGGTAATTGAATAAAACATATGAGGAACTTAAGGAAAATTGAAATGGACCATTCTGAAACTCACTCACATTAATCTAGACGCCACTAAGCAACACTGAGTATCTTTAAATAGAACACATCTCCAATTGCTCAGGAAAGCTTAATCTGGAAGTTTATAGGAAGCAACTGAAAACATTTGAAAGAGTAAAAGCAATCGAGTGTAAGGTTGTATGGGCAGTTGGAATGGCAGTTATGAAATGAGAGGATGATGGACCACACTGCAATGCCTTTCAGATACCTACCAATTATCAGCCTGTGATCCAAGTGCAGATTTTTGCACAAAGTAAAATCCAGTTGACTACTTCTGTTCGTATTTATTCTTTATATGTACTTTGACAGAAAAAGTGAAGCAGGATCTAGATTCTTTTGGTACAGCCCATATAGCTCAGCAGGAGTGACATCTCAAGCATTCGTAAGGAATAATACAATGGTTAGGGCAGGAGTTCTGGAGCAAGACTGTCCTAGGTTCAAAATGTAGCTCCATATGTTACTAGTTATGCAACCCTGGGTATGTTATTACACCATCTCTGTGTCTCAATTTCTCCAGGATCCCCATGTTGCACAATTGCAGGGGAGCACTACTCACCTTGGATTCTGGTTTCCTTTTCTGAAAAATGAAGATAATTTTCAGGGTCTCACTCTTAGCTGTCATACAGATTTAATAAGTGAAATCAGTCAAGTACTTTTAGTGCCTGGCAAACATTAACAAACATTAGCTATTATCTATATACTAGAGGCCGGTGCACAAAATTCGTCACGGCTAGGGTCCCTAGGCCTGGCCGCTGATAAGGGACGATCTGTGGGGCAACCAGGGGGGCCCTGCTGGCACCCACTTTGCCTGGCCTAGGGCCTGCAGGCTGGGGGCAGCTCCTGTGTTGAGCGTCTACTCCTGGTGGTCAGTGCTCGTCATAGCGACCGGTCATTCCATCAGTCGTTCTGCTGTTCAGTCTATTTGCGTATTAGACTTTTATTATACAGGATATAAAAGCCTAAGCGACCGAACAACCAGTCGCTATGATGCGCACTGACCACCAGGGGGCAGAGGCTCCATGCATGAGCTGCCCCCTGGTGGTCACTGCACTCCCACAGCAGGAGCACTGCTCAGCTGACCAACGGGCGCCAGACGCCAGGCTCATGGCTGGCAAGCTCAGCTGCAGCGGCACGAGCCTTTCCCGCCTCTGCAGCAGCACTACCAAGCGGCAGCGGTAGCAGAGCAGCGGGGCCAGGATGAGCAGGAGCGCACAGTGCTGGCCTGGTCTTGGGCTCCTCCCCAGCCGCCTACCACTTCGTACACTACTACATCCCTTAGGGGGATGTTGGTCTGCGAGAGGGCACAGGCCAGGCTGAGGGACCCCACTGGTGCACGAATCTGTGCAATGGGTCTCTAGTTCTAATAATAATTACTACAACTACTACTATACTACAACGAACATTTCAACTGCAAACATCAATAGGCCCCCTTTTATCAATAGCTACGGGAGCTTTGTTGATGAAATATATAAGATACCCAAGAATCATGGGAGAACTGGGGCTAAATATATGACAAAGGCACATCAAGCCACCTTTTTATGGTTGGTTAAAAAATTATCCTGAAAGCATCTATGCAAACATGCCTTAGGATCAATCACATATTTTGATCTCAATAAATACAATGTATTACATATTAAAGCAAATGTTTAGAATTGAAAAGGAAATTATAAATCACAAATTCTACTTCTTTTACAGAGAAGGAAATAGGCCCTTCTGAGAAGTTACAACTTGCCTCCATTTAGAGTTCACAATGGCACTAGAATCATGGGAATGAGAAGCCCTGGACCTCACCCTCTCCCTCTAATGCTTTTCCCCACTTCCCCACAGAAGCTTTCCCCTTACAGTCTGGCTGCTGGAAAGTAACTCAATCCACTTCATTTAATATTTATTAAGCATTCAATGTACAGCTCTATAAGGGAATATATTGGGAAAAAGAAAAATATAATTTTCTCAATCTGAAAGATTCTGCTTTGCCACAGATAGCAAAATGCACATGCACATGCACATACACACAGACACCCAAAAGTACTATCTTTGAAGGAAAGAAATACCAAATTTAACTAAATTTTTAGAAAGATATAGGGCTAGAAAGAAAAGAGGACACCTGAGAAGTAATTTTATTTTTGTTTACCCTTAAACATATCAATTACTTTTTTCCTTGAACAGCTTTATGTTCTGTTTGAAAATCATCTACCTCATATTGGAAACTTAGTAAAAACTCCTTAGTGATTTCACTTGGAAGTTATAACCATACAAGATGTTTTGAAAATAAGCCTATCCATATGCCAGATAAACTTCAGAAACTCTTAATATCTCTTCTTGTACAGAAATTCTCTTTCTATTCTGATGTACTTTGGTTAAGGACGAGAAACCTAACTCCCTTAAATGAGACCCCCCCCAAAAAAAAGTTTTCCAACTACCACTGTAAATAAATCTTTCTTTCAAATACAAATCAATTTCCTCAACTGTACAATCAATTCTAATTTATTGGTTTTTACTCTTGCTACTTCACTTCAAATAGTGACCTATACATTTGTTTAAGCAATAACTTCTTTTCTGGTTTCAAAACACGTAAGAATTTTTCCAATTAACTTTCAAATCTTCCTAGAACCTCTATTTAAAAATATATTATCTTTGAAACTAGAAGGGGGGCGGGGAGGGTGTCCCTCAGCCTGGCCTGTGCCTTCTCACGGTCGGGGACCCCTGAAGGGATGTCCGACTGCGGGCTTAGGCCCGCTCCCTGGGGAATCAGGCCTAAGCTAGCAGTCAGACATCTCTCTGGCAGCCCAGGGGGGATGTCTGACTGAAGGCTTAGGCCCACTCCCCACGAAGAATGGGCCTAAGCCACAGTCGGATATCCTTAGTGCTGCTGAGGAGGTGGGAGAGGCTCCCACCACCGCTGCTGCACTCGCAGCCCTCAGCCCGGCTTGTGGTTGAGCAGAGCTCCCCCTGTGGGAGTGCACTGACCACCAGGGGGCAGCTCCTGCATTAAGCGTCTGCCCTCTGGTGGTCAATGCATGTCATAGCAACCGGTTGTTCCGCCATTCGGTTGATTTGCATATTAGGGTTTTATTATATAGGACAATTTGAATGCTTTAACAAAAACTGATTTGCAAGTCCCTGTTACCATAATTATCAGTTTTTACAAGTCTCCTAAAAACGTTCTGCATTATCAGTTTTCTTGATTCTAAGATGTCAATAATATGGAAACATTTTTGATATAACAGAACATTTAATCACATCATTTTCCCTTCAACACGCAAGTTATTTGATGATGATTATATTGGCCATTTCCATTGGTTGGCAGGAGGCTCATCCACTAAAGGCTCCCATGGCTTCCACTGTATCATTTTTCTTGCCAGACTTAGTTCATTTTCAGCCTGTCAATAAAATATTTTAAAAAAATCATTTGCTTATACTGTTTCATAGATATTTATCATAGCTAATAACTAAAATATAACTACTAGAGCTACTATTTTCATAGTCGTACCTAATAAGCTGTTCTATCAAATGTTGATTATTAATTAACACATTGTATGCGGGAAATGTATTTATACGTTTTACGTTGACTCTAAGAAGTAGAGCCACCTGTTAACGCGCGATAAAAACTACCCGCAAACAATGTATTAATATTACCTTAACTGTCAGTTATGTAACTACCAAGAGTAAGAAAGAATAGATTTTTATTTCTTCTATTTGATTAAAATTTGATATTAGATTCTAGTTCAAAAGTTTAATTGATGAGTTTTTTAAATCTTAATTGTCTATTTCACCATTAGACTACAAATTCTTTGAGAAGCAAAAGTATGTCTCTTCATTGATGTCAATGGCTTTCAAATTTTATTTTACCACAGTCCAGAGTAAAAACAAAAGAAACAAAACAAAATTTTACCAAGGGATCTATAACACACACATATAACTCAAAGAAAAAAATATTACATTTACTAGCTGTGATACACTCTATATTCTATTGTATTTTTTAACAAATTTTTTTTACTGATTTCAGAGAGTAAGGGAAAGGGAGAGAGAGAAACATCAATGATAAGAGAGAATCATTGATCAGCTGCCTTATACATGGCCCTGAGCCTGCAACCCAGCACGTGCCTGGTTCATAGTTCAACACTCAACCCCTGAGCCATGCCAGCCAGGCTCTGTTGTATTTTTTTTAAGTACTAGACACAACCCACTTGTCTGATTTCATGACCCATAATCACTTGAGACCAGTCTGTAAAACAGTGATCTATGGAATGTAGAATGCAGTAGGCGCACAAAAATATTTTTGATTGAACTAGTTTCCTTAATCAAATTGTTACATTCGCTTTTTCCTTTTAAATACAATTCATAACACATCTAACAAATATATTTTATGTATCTTATTATTTCACATTTTTTCTAGAACAAAGAAACCTATGACAACTCTGGCCAACTTAGAAGAACACTGTTGAACACTTGTCAGGATGTCATGGAAGGAATTCAAAACAGAATAAGTGCTTAGATTCATCCTAGCAGAAGCTATAATTCTCAAGTGGTTCAAAACAGCCAATCTATGTTTAGCAGCAACAGTCTAAAATGTATATAAACAATGAGTTAAATAGTAGACTAAACAAAATCTGGAGGTAGAAGTATTTACCAAGGCTGAAATAAGAAAACAGTATAAATACTGATTAAAAATATCCCTTAGAATGGCCATTTCCCTGATCTGGGTCTCTTGAATATTCATGCTTTCTCTATGCCCCCAAAGCACCGTAGTGTGGGGAGGCTGTCCAGCTCTAACCATCAGTGAAGCCAGCCTTATTTCAGAGAGCTGGACCCCGTTGCATTACAGCCCTTGTAGCCCATTCCTTCCCTCGTCTCTAGCTTCTGACACACTATCCTTTCCTCATCCCTCTCTTACTATAGCTCTAGAATGGGCTGTCCAAAATGGTAACCACTATCTACATGTGACTACTGAGTGAGCACTTGCAATGTAGCTAGTTCAAATTCAGATGTGCTGCACGTGTTAAAATACACATCAAATTCTGAAGATTTAGTATAAAAAAGAATGTAAAATATCTCAATTTTTTTAATACTTATGTTTCAATAATATTTTAGATATATTGGGTTATATAAAACACTAGAGGCCCGGTACACAAAAATTTGTTCACTCGGGGGCGGGGGTCCCTTGGCCCGGCCTGCGCCCTCTCGCAATCTGGGACCCCTCGGAGGATGTCCACCTGCCAGCTTAAGCTCGCTCCCCGGGGCATCGGGCCTAGGTGGCAGTCAGACATCCCTCTGGCAGCCCAGGAGCCCTCAGGGGATGTCTGACTGACATCCTTAGTGCTGCCAAGGAGGCGACCGGTTTTTCCGGCATTAGGGTCAATTTGCATATTACCCTTTTATTATATAGAAATAGTAACCTTATATTGCCCATGAAAATGTGCAGAACTGCAGAACTGACTTAAAAATACTTAATGTATCATGAGACTACAATTGCTTGATAATTTATCAACTAAAGTCATGATCAAAGTGAAATCAGGTAGGAAAAAAAGATTAGGAAGAGGACAATAATAATAAGTTTGCAGTAAGTTCCCATACTCTACATCTAGTACCTTATGCTAATGAACAGAAAGGCGAGGAAAATAGGCCTCTAATGATTGAAACAGGACATTCATCAAAAGTTGTCTGAATGCCCTATTTTTCTTTTAACGGAGCCATCTAACAATGCTTTTAAATATGTCTATTAGTGAAATACTTCCCTAATCTACAATAATTTCAAATATTTCCTCTTATTTATCCTTTGATAAAAGGCAAGAAAACTTAAGAAAAAATGATTACATTTTTGAAAAATTCAAAAAAATCCTTACTAATAAAAGGCTAAGTAGTCACCACGCCGTCACAAGATGGCTGGGCGCACAGCGGGCACACGCAGGTGGGCGTGGCTGGTCTTGATGCTGCAGGCGCGGCACGGAGCCTGCCTGGGAGTCCCACCTCCTCCCAGCTCCGAGTGCGGCCAGGCCTGGGGGTCCGAGGCCGGCCGAGACCCAGGCCCAGGCAAGCCGTGGATGGCATGGCGGCAGCTGCTATGAGGGCCGAGGCTGAGACTCAAGCCCAGGCAAGCTGCAGCTGGCATGGCGGCAGCTGCTGCAAGGGCCGGGCCGAGGCTCAGAGGTGGCTGGCAATGGCAGCAGCAGCGGCGCGATGGGGGCGTCGCCTTCCCCTGATCATCCCAGTCGCCTCCCGCAGAGGGAGGCCAGAGGCAGCAGCAAGAGGGTGATGGGGGTGGTGGCTTCCCATGATTGGCCCCTCGCCTCCAGCAGAGGGAGACCAGATTGCAGCTTAGGCCCGCTCCCCATGGGGAGCGGGCCTAAGCCGTCAGTAGGACATCCCCTGAGGTCTCCCGGACTGTGAGAGGGGGCAGGTCAGGCTGAGGGAGCCCCCCCAGTGCACGAATTTTCGTGCACCGGGCCTCTAGTGTAAAAAATAAATGAAACAGAACTGAATATTTATAAGACTCACATAAGAGGAAGCCATGAGAGTTTTTGAGGGAGGATTATTTATCCAAATAAAAATTTTTAAAACCTCTACATATGGGAGATAATATCCAATTGAAGTCAAAAGACAAAACAACAGGCTAAAAAAAAATGTTTAGGCAATATGGCAAAAGATTAAGGTTAGTATCTCTTTTATTTTAAAACAACTCTCAAAGAAATATGTAAGAAAAACAAATTATAGAATAAAAATATCGCCTTAGCTGGTTTGGCTCAGTGGATAGAGTGTGGGCCCACGGACTGAAGAGTCCTAGGTCAGACCTCAGTTGCAGGCTCAATCTCCAGCCCTGGTCAGGGCTCATATGAGAGGCAACCAATCGATGGATCTCTCTCACATCGATGTTTCCCTATCTCTTCCCCTCCCTTTCCACTCTCTCTAAAAATCAATGGAAAAATATCCTCAGGTGAGGATTAACAACAACAACAAAATATTAATAATTGCCCTAGCTGGGTGGTTCAGTTGGTTGGAGTGTCATCCAGATAAGCCAGGGTTGTGGGTTTGATCCCCAGTAGGAGCACATACAAGAATCACCAATGAATGGATAAATAAGTGGAACAACAAATCAATGTGTGTCTCTCTCTAAAAAAGCAACTAAAAAATTTCTTAAATACTAATAATGCATAGAACATGAAATATAAGAACATTGTTTTTAACATTTAATCTTACTAGTAATTGGCGGGTAAATGCACAACTAAAAAAGGGGGGGGGCATCATTTCCCCCAATTTAATTAAAAATTGTAGTATTCTTACCAATCCATTAAAATTTGAAAGTATTTGTATCTAAAAAGATAAAATTATTCAAGAAACAGTAATATTGTATAACTAATCTGAACTAAGGTAAGGCTAATAAGAACATGCCCATTATATTTAAAGAATATAAAACTCCAAATTTCTAAAAGAAGCCTCATAAATTCAAGTTATAATCAATGATATTTAACTGCTATATACATTAGAAGTATTTTATACTTGCGATTAGTCTTATGTTTGATGAGTTGATAAAAGAAATTTAGTTTTCCTTTCTTTCTGGAATGTCAGTTTTGTGCCTCAATACATTATGTCTTTGAACTTTTGAAGCCAAACATCTAAATATTCAACTTTTTCTTTACCTGAAGAATCACCTCTTCTATTTGGCCACCCTGAAGCCTGTCTTCTAATTTTTTAACATCTGGTTCCTATAATTTAAGGGGAAAAAAAAAACACAGAAAAATATGTAAACACAATATCTGAATGTTTCAATATCATATATTTTAAAAACTCATATACAAAAAATGCACTTGCTGTAACAAATGTAATTAATTTTTCTCTCATTGTACACTTACTAATTTTTATCAAATAGTTGGTGGAAACCGATTTCATCTTTCTATTTTTATGTTTTTCTATCTTAATATTATTAAACATGTATTAACATGTTTATCAAGAGTAAAAAAAAATGATGCCTAATTCAGTCTTTCTAAAATATAGATTTTAAAATACCACTTTATTTTCTTATTATTTCCTATATTTCCTCTGACACCATTAGCATTAAAAATAGTAGCTAATCTATGACCCAGAATTGCACTCTTAGGTGTAAACTAAAAAGAAATGCATAATATGTTAATCAAATGACATGTTCAAGAAAATTCAAAGAAGCACAAATCACAGCTTCATATTACAAACAATCCAAATGACCACATATCATAGAATGAACTACAATGTTTGAATATAATACAATACTATACAGCCATGAGAATGAACAAACTATAACTATAAACAATGATTCTCTCAAAATTAGTATTATTAAGTGAAAGAAACCAGACACAAAAGAGTACATGCTGATGGTTCCATTCAAAACCAAAGCAAAAGGAATATGTGATGTCAGAGGTCAGTATAATTATCTTTAGGAGGATAATAACTAATTGGAACAAGAGAGGATTTTGGTGTTCTGGAAATGTCCTCTCTTTTGATTTGATGTTAACATGGGCTAGGTGTGATGATTTTGTGAAAATTCATGATTTCTGCACATTTCTTTGTGTATATAAATCCTTCAATAAAAGAAGTTTTTTTTAAAAAAAAAAGAATGCTAGTATAGTACATTCATGACATATATTTGCTTATTTTCTAATAGACTTGAGTTTTTTGAGAACCAAAAACCATGTCCTCTACATACATATGTAAATAAGTATAAATATGGTGGGGGGGAGGGCGGGGTTTGTCCAGAAATGGAATAAAGACCGGGAGAAGAACAAAAATATTCTCTACAGGAACTGGCATGTCCTGTCTCAGGGCATATGCTGGTGAACCCAGGATATCTGCACAGCTTGTTCCTTCACTTCTGTGCAAATCTTCCCTTGTATACGATCTCTTTAGGGAGGACCACGTGCAACTGTGTTAAGCACTTTACATAAATTACCTCATTCAGTCCTAACAATAAGTGCTCAAGGTTGGTATTAGTATACCCCAGTTATAGATGAGGAAATTGAGACAGAGAATATGGACAATATGCCAACAGTCATTCAGCAAATTAGTATTAGAACTGAGATGAAATTATTGAACAGGCTACAAACCAGTGCTTTACACCAATATGCTGTTACTATCTTTCTAGTATAATCTGTAAAAATATTTACTTTTATTTCCATTTTAGGCTTAGAAAATAGATACTTTACAATCATAACAATATTCACGGAGACTCTGCGTGGCTTTAAGAAGAGTTAAAAATCTGTGGTAATTTAACCAAAAACAGGAATCAGCAATATAACTGTTATGTAGTGTAAGGGGTTGTTAAAAACTATTTGTATTTAGCCTTTTGGATAAACAAACATTTCTGAGGGACCTTATATGAGTGCCAGGTACTTTTCTAGGTTCTTGGATACAAGACGAATGCAATCATCATTCATTAGTAACTTATGGACTAGTCGAGAAGACATAAATAAAACGCGACGTGATAGGTACAATGGAAGCAAGGAAGGTGTCAATCTCTACCCAGGGATGTAAGAAAACGTTTCACAGAGAAGGTAATGGATCTTGAGGACTGAGTAAGAACTTCCAGATAGATAAGGAAGGTAAGCATTTCAGGAAGGGGGCAGGTGGGGAGAGAAGACAAAAATAAAGTTGCCTGGAATTCCCATAATTGTCAGCAGTGTGGTATTGCTGAGCATAGCGCACAAAACAGGAAATGGTAAGATAAGATTGGGAAGATAACCTAGAGCCAGACCTTGGAGGCCTTCCATCCATCAGGGATTTTATCATGTAAGCCAGTGGTTCCAAACCTGACTGTACATCAAAATAATGCAGATAAGGACAGAAAGTTGAGTTTCCACAGCCAGCTCAGCATAAACCTATAAACTCAGTCTTTGAGCAACACTGACAGAAAACCATGGTAAAGTTTTTAAGGAGAAAGACACTGTAACTCACATATTGAAAAATATCACTGCCTTAACCGGTTTGGCTCAGTGAATAGAGCGTCTGCCTGCAGACTCAAGGGTCCCAGGTTCGATTCCGGTCAAGGGCATGTACCTTGGTTATGGGCACATCCCCAGTAGGGGGTGTGCAGGAGGCAGCTGATCGATGTTTCTCTCTCATCGATGTTTCTAACTCTCTATCCCTCTCCCTTTCTCTCTGTAAAAAAAACAAAATATATTTGAAAAAAAGAAAGAAAAAAAAGAAAAATATCACTGTACTGGCAGTGTAGGATATACAATAATGTAGAATGGGACTATAAACAGACCAATCAGTTAAAAGGCAAGCAACTGAAACAGCACAGGCCAGGGAAAACGATTTTAGAACTAGTAAGTGAAAGAAATGACAGTGAACTATTCTTCACTTGACAGTGGCTATGAGAGAAAAGAGAAACAGGGCAAAAGTAAAGGAAAATATAAAAAGTTTTCTTTTTCTTTTAAGATAGAACAATATAACTACATTTTAAGGCTATCTGAGAAGGAAAGAAGAGAAAGAATAAAACAGAGTTGAAGACATTCACCTTATGAAAGGAAAAAGGGAAATTTCTTTCTCTGTAATGGGAAAAAAATATATAAGCCCATTGTCCTTAAGAAAAATTAAAAGAAATGCTAATTTCTCCTTTAGAGAATTTAGCCTCCACAATTAAATTAATTCCACAATTACCAAGCTAAAAGTTCCACATCAAATTGCATTGTTTTGTTGTATACCTAAGGAAACGATAAAAGCTCTTTACATTAGACTACTTACTGCATATATGTCAATTACTTTTGGAGTTTATGAACATAATTTTGGATAAGTGCAAAAGTTCATGAAATAAGTGCTAGTGTGGGAATTTGACAATAGTGTAATATAGTTTGGTATAAAAGAATCAAAAGTGGTCTACTGTCTAGAGCAGCGGTTCTCAACCTGTGGGTCGCTACCCCTTTGGGGGTCGAACGACCCTTTCACAGGGGTCGCCTAAAACACACATATAATTACATATTGTTTTTGTGATTAATCACTATGCTTTCATTATGTTCAATTATAACAATGAAAATACATCCTGCGCCCTAACCGGTTTGGCTCAGTGGATAGAGCGTCGGCCTGCAGACTCAAAGGTCCCAGGTTCGATTCCGGTCAAGGGCATGTACCTGGGTTGCGGGCACATCCCCAGTAGGAGATGTGCAGGAGGCAGCTGGTCGATGTTTCTCTCTCATCGATGTTTCTAACTCTCTATCTCTCTCCCTTCCTCTCTGTAAAAAAAATCAATAAAATATATTTTAAAAAAAAAAGAAAATACATCCTGCATATCAGATATTTATATTACGATTCATAACAGTAGCAAAATTACAGTTATGAAGTAGCAACAAAAATAATTTTATGGTTGGGGGTCACCACAACATGAGGAACTGTATTAAAGGGTCGCAGCATTAGGAAGGTTGAGAACCACTGGTCTAGAGCCTTTGATTTGGAAGCTGTTACCTGCTTATATTCGTCTGCTCGGGCTCCCTACAAAATACCATGGACTGGGTGGCTTAAACAGCAGAAATTTATTTTCTCACAGTTCTGGAGACTGAAAGTCCAGGATCAAGGTCTGGCCGGGTAGGTTTCTTGTGAAAGCTATCTTCCTGGCTTACAGAGAGCCACCTTCTCACTGTGTCCTCACGTAGCACTCTGGTGTCTCTTCTCCTAAGGACACTAACTCTTCTGGGTCACAGCATCAGCCATATCACCTCCTTAACCTTATTACTTCCATAGAGGTTCCAGCCACAGGAACCTCATCGGGCTTCAACATACACATTCTAAGGCAGTGGTTCTCAACCTTCCTAATGCCGCGACCCTTTAATACAGTTCCTCATGTTGTGGTGACCCCCAACCATAAAATTATTTTTGTTGCTACTTCATAACTGTAATTTTGCTACTGTGATGAATCGTCATGTAAATATCTGATATGCAGGATGTATTTTCATTGTTACAAATTGAACATAATTAAAGCATAGTGATTAATCACAAAAACAATATGTAATTATATATGTGTTTTCCGATGGTCTTAGGCGACCCCTGTGAAAGGGTCGCTCGACCCCAAAGGGGTCGCGACCCACAGGTTGAGAACCACTGTTCTAAGGGGACACAGACATTCAGTCCTTAAAATGCTCAATAAAATTTTGTAGTTAAGTGACTAATGTGGTCCTCTTCTTTTTGCAAGAACGCACTTTGTAAGAGTTGCTTCTGACAGTTTTCTTTAAACACAACACACTTTTTTTTTGTTTTGTTTTCATTCTCTACTCTGAAACTAGAAAAAAAGGATGAAGATTGATGTATCTAAAAGACTGATGTAAAAAATAAAAGATCAATAAAGGACTGGGTAGGAAAGAGAGGTAAAAGAAACAGGCACAGTATTAACTTAGGAAACGGACTTGATCTTATTCCTTTACTCCAGCATCTATAGGGCCTTGCATATAGAAAGCTCTCAGTAAGCAGGTATTTGATGAATGAAAGAAGAGAAAGGATGGAAGAGAAGCATGGAAGGAAAAAGAATAGAAATAAGAGGAAAGTGAGCAGAATATGCAAAAAATAAGTAACTGCATTTCTGTTGTTGTTGTTAAATGTTGCCTTGGATACCATAAATCCAAGCAAGCAAAACTAAGTCCGCTACTTACCGCTTTCACCATATCCAGCCTCTCATTTGTAATCTCCTCTGTGTATTTTCTATATGCTGCATTTTTAGGGATTTGCTCAAGAACATCAAGAATCTTTGTGTACAATATTCTTAACCTCTGAAAAGACAAATCATACAAATGTCTGTTTTAAAATACCACCAAAAATCAAAATGGGACACTTTAAAAAGTTTCACAGCTTAAAGAAAAAAAAAAGACAACTGTTTTTTAAAAAACTTCACTTTAGCTGTAATTTCTTCATGTCTATGCCCTATCTATCTTGTGTGTGTGTGTATATATATATATATGATTTTTATTTATTTTTTCTATTCGAAGTCCTTCCATTGATCTCCTATCGATCTCTTTTACAATTTAAGGAAAATCGTTGTGGCACCAGATCAACTCTCAAGGGCTCAGGAGGAGGAGCTGTGATTCTGGGCTGGAAACGTCCCCGTCGCAGTAACCTTCCGGGGAACAAGGTCGCGGGGCTGCCGTCGTCCTCGGGGACGCGAGGAGAAGGCCGGACAGGGGTACCCACCTCGTGCGGCGTCTCGCACACCGCCAGTCCCACGAGGCCGGTGGTCTGCGTAAAAACAACACGCCGGTCAGGCCGGTGACCGCTCCGCGCGCCCCCCACACTGAGCCGGAGCAAAGCCG